CCCCCCCCCCCCGGGATGAAGATCACCCTTGTCGTCAAGAGTGAAGGCTGGAAATCAAGCTCGTTGATAGATAATAACGAGGGGCGAGAACAACGAGTTGTGTACCTTATTGACGTAGCGGAAACCGTTGAACTCACCACCAAAAGAATTGCCCCAAGTCAAACTTTGAATCTCTTGGAAAACAAAGTTTAGTTTCACAAACTAAATGTCTTTCTTCTTGTGTGTTTTGCAAAAAGAAGAAGAGAAATCTTCACTGTTAAGAAAAAAGAAAATTGATAGAAAGGAAGAGCAAAAACCCACTTTCTGTTCGTTCATCCCACTTTAATAGGAAGACCAAATGAGTTATTATAGAGAAAGAATTAACTGCCATGGGAAACTGCTCTCAACTACACCCAAACGTGTAGTAACTTCTCCACAGAAGTTATTTTATTCTCAAACTCTATCTCTTCCTAAATGGGTTGGGTCAGCCCATATAGAGCGACCCGGTATCCGAATTTAATACCCAACATCTCGCACTTCGCTCATGATGGGCTGGAACTCAAACTAGTATCATGAATAAATAACACACTTAATTCATATAGACAAGTAGTTTATGCGACCTGCGAGCATCAAGAGCTATAATATACTTAAACCCTTTAAGGTTGTTTAACAGCTCTATGTAGAAATCCAATCACATGCGGAAGGGATTTACTACTAACATGAGGATCTTATTACTCGTAATACCCCGACATCATTTGCTATTCCAATAACTATTTATCTAATCCCCCATCCTCGAAAGAGGTGAACACGAGTTCATGTTTAACTTTGTATCCACAATTACACCCAATACCCTCATGGTAAGTGTAATGGTCGACCTATGAATACAGGTTAAATTACAAAAAAAATTATTTATTTGTATTCCCTTTCTACTCGAATCTTTCCATTCCAAATTACATATACTGCATTGCAGAATCACTCATGGCTATTAGTAACATGCTAAAGTAGCAACACCGATTGACACTTCAAGAAACAGTAAAAGGTCAAAGGGTATTCTACTAAAAGTTAATGTAACTTCTTTGGGATCTCACACAATGAAGAAGCAGGGGTTCATTCTTCCATTATCCCATGGTCGATAGCACACGTGGTATGAAACACATGTTACAGTGTTCTTACCTTATATTGGCACATGTGTCTTATTCTGTTAATCATTCAACACCGTACAGATCTTGGTCTAGACACCTCCAAATGTCTAACCCGGGTTTCTCAATTCAATAATCCTCAAACCATCTTCTTAGAGAAATTTGCATCTGGCTTACAAAACAAGTCATAATCGAATAGTGAAATTCGTAAGTCTAATTACTTGTCAAGACCGACCTCTACAAGTATATAACCTCGCATTATCCAAGGTTCTATAAGGTCTCATCTCTTCATGATTCTTAACGTAAGAGGCGATTGCTCGTGTGACAAAGCTAATCTCGCGACTTGTTCGACACACTTTATCAACAAAATATTCATCACATGCATACGAGATATAAGCATAAGTTCAAGAGTCAAATTTTGATGAGCATATTATAATAAAAGTCATTTTAGAATACATAAATATGTTCACATCCTTCGCAAACCTAGAGCCATAACATGTTTCTCAAACAGGTCTCTAGATATCGCCTTTGTAAAAGGATCAGCTATCATGCTTCGCGTAGGAATGTATTGTAAATTTATCTCTCCACTTGATACCATGTCTCTCAAAAAGTTATACTTGATGTCAATGTGTTTGGTCTTGCTGTGATACTTAGGATCTTTTGTATATGCAATAGCCGCTTGACTATGAGTCATGGGATCCTGAGAGTTCTTTGTAATATCCAAATGCTCAAAGAATCTTTTCAACCAAACAACTTCTTGTACTGTAGATGCACAAGCCACGGACTCAACTTCCATCTTTGAAAAGGCTGTACAAGTTTGTTTCTTACTTTTGCATGATATAGCACCACCATTAAGTAAGAAGGCATAATCGGATGTTGATTTTCTATCATTCCGGTCACCAGCCCAATCGGCATCTGTATATCCTCTTAAGTATAAATTGTTTCCACAACAACATAGTGAATAATCTGCAGTTCCCTTCAGGTATCTGAAAATTCTCTTTGCAGCTTTCCCATACCTGCTAACCAGACCTACGGCATAACAAATGTCTAGGCGAGTACACATCATAGCGTACATCAAGCTCCCGACAGCACTTGAATATGGAAATCGAGACATGTCTTTCTTTTCATTTTTTAGTCTTGGGACACATTTCAAGGCTTAAAGTTTCACCTCTCGCTATAGGGGTATCCATGGATTTGCAACTATTCATGCGAAAATGCTCCAAAATTTTCTTTGTATAAGTTTCTTGAGATAGACTCAATAACTTTTTGGAACGGTCTCTTTGGATCTTAACTCCAAGGATATAGTGTGCCTCGCCTATATCTTTCATGTCAAATGACTTTGAAAGTCATGACTTGATAGTTTTCAAATACTCCAAATTATTTCCGGCCAATAAAATATCGTCCACATAAAGGGAAAGAATTACAAACATCCCATTGGACTTCTTCACATAAATGCAATGGTCTTCATTGATCATGGTGAAATCATATGAGATCACATCCTTGTGAAATCTCAAATACCATTTCCTTGAAGATTGCTTCAGGCCATAAATAGATCTTTTTAAATTACATACCTTCTTTTCTTGCCCTTTAACGATGAAGCCTACGGGTTGTTCCATATAGATTTCTTCGTTTAGTTCTCCAATGAGAAAAGCTGTCTTCACGTCCATTTGATGTAATTCTAAATCCAAACGTGCAACAATGGCCAAAAGTAAGCGAATTGAGGTAAACTTCACAACTGGTGAAAATGTTTCCTCATAATCTATTCCAGCTTCTTGAGTAAAGCCTTTTGCCACCAATCGTGCCTTGTATCTTTCTATTGACCCATCCGCTTTGCATTTAACTTTGAGAACTCATTTGTTCCCAATAGCTCTACGCCCAGGCGGAAGGTCAACTAGGTACCAGACTTTGTTGGTTTTCATGGACTCTAATTCTTCTTTCATTGCTTTCATCCACTCATCTTTTCTAGGGCTTGATAAAGCCTCAGTCACAGACTTTGACTCATCCATTTCTGTGGGAGATACCAAGAAAACATAATCTTCAATGTCATAAGTACGTTTGGGTATATTTTTCCTCGCACTCTTTCGTAGTTGAAATTGAGGTTCGTCGGAAGGATTTTGAGATTGAGAGTTCCCACTCCCACTCGGATCAAGAATAAGATCTTAGATCAATTTGATTATTAATTGTGTCAGAAGGCACTTGCTGACTGTCTGAGTTCAACATTTCATAAAGAGGCTCTCCATTCTTTACCTCGCCCTTCTTTGGAAAATCATTTTCCAAAAATGTGACATCTCGCGATTCAATCTCAGTAACACTTCCATCCTCTAATTCCCAATGAACACATACCATTTGGAGTGTTCTGAATATCTTATAAAGATATATTTCTTTCCTTTTGGACCTAATTTACCAAACTTGCTAAAAGAATCTTTTACATATGCAGCACAACCCCAAGGTCGTAAATCCCTTAAGTTTGGTTTATGACCAGTCCATAGCTCATAAGGAGTGGAAGAAACTGATTTAGAAGGCTCTTTGTTCAATATGTAAGTTGCAGTCAATAACGCATCTCCCCAAAAGGAAATAGGTAAATTTGCCTGTGCCATCAGGGACTTTATCATGTCCAATAGTGTTCTATTCCTCCTTTCTGCTACACCATTTTGTTGAGGTGTGTACCGAATAGTTAACTGTCTGGTGATTACCTTTTCATTACACAATTCTTCAAATTCTTTTGATAGATACCCACGCCCTCTATCGTTTCTTAAGGTCTTAATCCTTTTGTCTAATTGATTCTCAACTTCATTCAAATATTTCTTAAAAGCATTCAAGTGCTTCAGATTTATGAGAAATCAAATAGACATAACCAAAGTGTGCGAAATCATCAATGAACGTAATAAAATATAAAGCACCAGACCTAGACCTCACATTCATTTGACCTCAGATATCAGAATGGATTAATTACAATGGAAAATCAGCTCTCTTAGGCTTTCCAAATGGTTTACGTGTAATCTTCCCGGCAAGACAATTTCACAAGTTGGCATTTAAATTTTAGAGAAATAACCTAGATGTCCTTCCTTATCCAATCTATTCATTCGATCTTGCCCTATGTGACATAATCTTGCATGCCATGTAATAACATCAACACCACTGTTACTAGAATAACATGCCATAACACAACGGTCAACA